ATGCTCCAGCAGTTTTTCAACACATGGCGAACGACGTCTTTCGGGAGTTTCTTGATCAGATGGTGATCGTCTACCTCGATGACATCCTCATCTACTCAAAAACTCAGGAGGAGCATGATGAACATGTACGCAAGGTGCTAGCGAAGCTGCGAGAACACGGCCTATACGCGAAGCTTGAGAAATGTTCCTTTGATCAGCAGTCTGTGGAGTTCCTTGGGTACATTGTCACTCCTGAGGGTATCACGATGGATCCTGCCAAAGTCAAGACTATTCTCGAATGGGAGCCTCCACAATCAATGTCAGACGTTCAGGTTTTCCTTGGCTTCGCCAACTTCTACCGCAAATTCATTGATCACTACTCTGACATTGTCCTTCCTCTCACACATCTCACTTGCAAGGATGTTCCCTTCTCTTGGTCTGCTGCTGCCCAGCAGGCCTTCGACACACTCAAGGCAGCCTTCAGTTTTGCTCCTATCTTGATCCATGCTGATTCCTCACAACCTTTCTTCATCGAGGCTGACGCCTCCGACTTTGCCATTGGTGCTGTGCTGTCTCAACTCGGAGCGGATCACGAACTTCATCTGGTCGCTTTCCATTCTCGGAAATTCCAGCCTGCGGAGATCAATTACGAAATCCATGACAAGGAGCTCCTTGCCATCGTGGATTCCTTTGGAGAGTGGCGCTGTTTCTTGGAGGGGGCGAACCATCAAACAACAGTCTGGACGGATCACAAAAATCTCGAGTACTTTGCCACTTCCCGAGTTTTAAGCCGTCGTCAAGCAAGGTGGGCACAATTCCTGAGTCGGTTTGACTTTGTTATCAAGTACAGACCTGGAAAGTTTCAAGGCCTTCCTGATGCTCTTTCAAGGCACTCCTATCTCAGTCTCAGGCCTGGTAATCCTGCCTTCGATCAACAGGATCAAGTTATCCTCGGTCCTGATCGGCTTCAAGTTATGGCAATTTCCCTGGCCCCTCAGGACTCCTCCTTGATGGATGCAATCAGAAACGATCTTCAATCCGATGATCTCGCTAGTGACATCTTCCCCCATCTTCAGGCTGGACACCCAGTGACTCCTGACTGCCGGCGATTTGACGAGTTCGAGTTCTTAGATGGCTTATTGTACCGTAGGGAGCAACTTTACGTTCTTGAAGGTGATGCTCGAAGGTTGGTCCTGATGGCGTGCCACGATAGCCCGACTGCTGGTCACTTCGGCATTGCGAAAACCTATGAGCTAGTTGCACGGGACTTTTGGTGGCCTTACATGGACAACTACATCAAAGCTTTTGTTACCTCCTGTGACACTTGTGCCCAGAATAAGGTACCTCGCCACCTTCCTTCAGGTTTGCTTCGTTCCCTTCCGGTCCCTTCAGGTCCTTGGGAATCCATCTCCATGGATTTCTTGAGTGATCTTCCGAGTTCTGGAGGCTTCAACAACATTTTAGTCGTGGTGGATCGCTTCACAAAGATGGCGCACTTCTTGCCATGTACTAAGGAGTTTTCGGGCGATGACATGGCAAAACTGGTATTCAGGGAAATTTTCCAACTTCATGGGATTCCTACATATATGGTTTCGGATCGGGGGCCTCAGTTCATCTCTCATTTCTGGCAACGGTTTTTGCAGCTGCTTGGAGTGAAGGCCAACCTCTCTTCGGCATATCATCCTGAAACTGATGGGCAGTCCGAGCGAATGATTCAGACGTTGGAACAATTCTTGAGGTATTTCATCAACTATCATCAGGATAACTGGTTCGATATCCTTCCCCTTGCTGAGTTCTCCTATAACAACTCTGTTCACTCCTCTCTTCGAGTTTCCCCCTTCTTTGCGAACTCTGGCCGAAATCCCCGATTCAATCTCTCACTTCCTTCTTCATCTGAATCCTCTCGTTCAAATCCCCGCTCTGAGGCATTTATCTCCAACCTCCAGGAAATCCACAACTCCATCTCCTTCCACCTCCATCATGCTCAGGAATCTCATAAAACATTTGCCAATGTCCATCGTCAGGATTGTCCCCCTTACAATGTCGGGGATAAAGTCTGGCTCCTCAAGCGAAATATCTCCATCACCAGGCCCTGTCCAAAACTCGATTTCAAACGCCTTGGTCCTTTCCCTATCACTGCCATCATTAATCATGTGACTTATCGCCTTGCACTTCCCTCCTCATATCAAATTCACCCCGTTTTTCACTCCTCTCTCCTTGAGCCTTATATTCCCAGTCTTATTCCAAATCGGGTCATTCCTCCGCCTCCGCCAGTGCAGCTTGAGGATGGGTCTAAGTGCGAGGTTCAGGACATCCTTGATTCCAAGATTTCACGGTCTAAACTGTACTATCTGGTGGACTGGAAGGGTTACGGACCTGAGGAATGCACTTGGGAACCTGCGGACAACCTGATTCATTCTCCTGACCTTGTTCAGGACTTCCACCACTACTATCCTTCTCGTCTCAGTCCTCATTCTTTTTCTCCATCTCCCATCCCTCGCCGCTCATCTCATCCTCCTCTTCGTTCTCGTTCACATCCTCGTTCCACTCGTTCTTGAGGAGGGGGTGCTGTCAGGAATCCCCCAATTCTTGCCACATTCCTGACTCTCACCGGATTCCTGACTTGCAGACCACATTCCTGACTCTCGAGACACTTCTCTATTCCTGACTCTCGAGACACTTCCCTATTCCTGACTCTCGAGACACTTCCCGATTCCTGAGTCTCGAGCCACATTCCTGATGATGATGTGGCGCCTCCTCAACCTCAGCTATATTTAGGCCGTCCTCGATCCAAGAGTGGTGGAGCTTCATCAACCTATAGTATATATAGGTTAGCCTTGTTCCATTTCTCCACAATCTGAATCAACACCAGTCTAAGGCCTTTTCTTCGTTTCCATTAGCTTTTCTCTTTGTCTTTTGCATTTTTCAGTCTTGATCTTGTTGGGGGTCTTGACAAAAATAACAACTTTGGGAAGAATGGAAATAGAGGGTAAAAGGGAAATTCCACTTTAGAGGTTTATAAATGATGGTTAATAAGAGTGGTGATTAGTGATCATTAACAACTTCTTCTAGTCCTAAGCCCTTTATTCCTTTTTCTAATGGGTATAACTAGTAGCAACTTGCAAAACTTACTCTTAGTCGAATATACTCCTAGCAAAACATATAGTGTGGATCATTACTTCCATTATGGAGAAGTAGAATATAAGTCCTCAAAAGGTCTTAATAAACATAAAATAAAATTTTGTGTCAATATCATAAATAAAGATGGTGGTGGTGAAGTTGAAATAGTTGATAAATTGGTTAATGCAAATTATGGGGAAGAAGAGGTGAGCTATATTCTTTAAGTTTTTATCGCAATCAAAGCAAGCACCAATCCATTGATGTATTTTGTAAGTTTTGCCTATGAACACTGAATTTGAGTAATAATTGGCATAAGAGCAACACACAATGTGATATTTGAAGATTTGGTTAAATTGTTAGGATTAAAAGCTGAGCGAATGTCATCTATACACTTCAATTTTGCAGAAAATGGGCAAATAGCTAAGAAATTTGTAAGTGATATTCCAATAAAGATATCCAAGTAAAAATAAAAATTGGATTTAATAGTGTTGAAGATACTAAATTTTTCTTTAGTGTTTGGTATAGGTCTCTTCAATAATTATATCCCAATGGATGATAATACTGAATAAAATCATATCATATTGAGGTCAAAAGGATATCTTAATATGTTCTTTCAATTGCAAAAGTGCTTCTCAAGGGATTAGGATGCCAAATTCCTAACTACGAGAGCAGTTTAAAAAATAATTAGAAAGAGATGTCAAACCTTTTGGGTTTAAGTGATGGTGACTAGTTTGAATTGGTGATAGAGTTAATCCTATACTAAGAAACTTTTTAGAGTTATTGGTGAGGAATCTTGATATTTTTCCAAAACATTTACTGCTAAGGCTATGAGGTTGATTATTAAATTGAGATTGTTTTGGATTCTAAACTACCTACAAATGCTCTATGCCATTTGAACATCAAAGAAATGAATAAACTCAAGAAATAATTCATAGAACTTTTTGACAAAGGTTATATTCAGCTAAATAAGTCATTTTATGGAGTGCCAATCCTTTTTATTATGAAAAAAGATGTTATCATGAGGATGTGTATCAATTATTAAGATCACAATCAGAAATTTAGATGGACATACCAAGGTTTATATAGTAATACATTTGGGGGGTTTTAAATATATATTACAGATAGTGGTTTAAAGTATGGTCAATCACATAAAACATTAGTTTAGCTTTTACTAGGCTATATTACTCTTTATTTGCATTTAACTTGGGTCTAATCCCAAATTCCATATTACTCTAGTCATGCAAGAGTTGGATAAAGGGAGTTAATGCTTATAAGGGATATTAAATGTATATTAAACCCTTGTTTTGTAGTGTAATGAATTAGAGCTCAACTCTAAATTTAAATATGCTACAATCAAGGGATAATATCACATATTTACCTTCTTTCTATATTTATTGAGTATATTCACCATTACTACACATGGTAAAAATTAAACCTCAAATATTTACTCATGGAATTTAAACTCAAGATATACTATGCATATAGATGGGCATTTGGGATTAGCATTAACTTTTGATATGGACTAAATAATTTCTAGACCCCTTTAGGGTTTTAAAAACTGTTTTAGTATCATTCTTTGAGTTAGCAATAAGTTTTATTACAAGTATGCTACATTATTTTAAATATATTAGAGAAAACACACTATAAAGCCTGAAATATGGGTTAGGTGAGACATTGATGATTAGAGAGTAACTTGGATTAGTGGAACAAAATTATTAGTCTTATACTTCACTTTATTTTGTACCCTAGAATGAATAAAGTAGATTCAGTTAAAGATTATAAAATAGTATTAATCTTGCAGATCTTGTAACTTTGTTATAATTGCCACCAGTTCCACAGGTTGCAGATGACATCAATGGCTTAAATAAGAAGGTTGGCATTTGGACTAAAGATTTCATATGTAAGAGTGATGAAATGTTGTATATGAAAGTTGCTTTGGTCGATGCTAAATAACATGCACGAGAGTTTGAGTCTCTCGAGTGACGTTTTCGTTTTTTGCTTGAAGTCTAGATCCAATCTTCTGTAGTTACATCCGAAAAACTCCGTACTTAGAAGTTTGTGGAGAGCTTTGAGATGCGGCCTTGAGACACAGTCCTACAACTTGTCTCGTGTCCGCGGGATCAATCACACCATCGTCCCAAAGCCTGGCAGTCGCATAATAAGGATTGGCCTCTCGCTCGTAAGACTCTACAGTCTTGGATTTAAAAAGCTCCTCCTCTTCCTTGCTCCACTGCAAGAGAGCCACCATCATACAAGAAAAGAAATGCTCACGAGAAACACTTACTGGATTTCCTTTCCTAGAGCGTTGCTCCTTCTCAATCTGCACGAGAACTCCTGCTGCCTGATCGGATAAAAACTCACGCTGACTCAAGGAACTCTTTAAAACTATATGAAGAAACATACCTGGCTGCCTCCCATGACCGAGATCCTAGCGTTTGGCCACAGAAAAAGGAAGTTGGGACTGTAAGCACGTCCGCACATTCCATAGTTCCCGGCGCCGTAGCTCCCTCCGACTATCACAGTAATTTTGGGCACCTAGAAAAGTTTCAAACAGGTAAGAAACTATTATCTAAAGTTTTTCAAAGCAACCTTGGCACAAGCAACAGCCATGACCATTTTGGCACCCGCTTTGGCAATACCACTAGCCTCGGATTTGGATCCCACCTAGAATTATCACAAATAAAATCACATGAAATGGATAGAAGGATATGTTCGTTGATACGAACCATGAAGCCAGTGATATTCTGAAGAAATAGTAGCGGAATGTGGCGTTGAGCACAGAGCTGAATGAAGTGAGCACCTTTCAAGGCTGACTCCGTGAAAAGAATTCCATTGTTTCCCAGAATCCCAACGGACTGTCCATGAATCTTTGCAAATCCTGTGACCAGCGTCTGGAAGATTGAGATCAGTAAGTTTTGAAGGAAGACAAATTCGAAAAAGCTTACACTTCCATATAGCT